CACATCCAACAGTGAAATTCATGGAGATGGGATCAGCTTAGCTGAAGAGAAGATTTTCCAGAAAAGCTTTTTTTGTTTCAGTTATTGAGTCGAGGAAAATCAAAGAGTGGGAAGTCCGACCGTCTGCATATGTCTGCTAGTGATTACTTCTTTTTTTTTCTTTTAAAGCTGTCAGCTTGTGCATGGCGTCATTGCGGGGTTTGGAAAGTAAAAAGACAAGATATGCTATAGAAATAGAAGTAGAAGTAGGGCTATTGTTAACTGAAATTTACGGCAGGAAATTGACCGACACTTTTGTTGTTATAAGACCTTCAAAGATCGTAATGTTTTTCATCAATACATCCGTGAGAGTGAACAGCTAGACAGCCGCTTAGCTTATAACACGGGCCGTCAAATACCTGTTTGGTGCCGAAAACACCAGTTTCACGACCTCTTCGCTCACCCACCCACCCATACCCCTCTTTCTTCTATCCACCACAAAAAAAAAAAAAAAAAAAAAAAGTAAGGCCGGGAAAAAGAAAATAAATGCCATATTGGGTTGCCTTGTGTTGTGTATTTCAGGTAGTAAAATGGCAAGGAATCGGGCATAAGCTATATTTAAATAGTTCAGAGTGGTTTTTAGTATGAAAAATGTAGATCACAAAGTAGCGTTTTAGTTCAATTCCATATACCTTTTTTTTTACACGCATAGACTGGCCATATACAAACCAAGAGCGAGAGCATAGCTGACAGGAAATCAGAGAAGTCCACTAGGTTTTGTGTTGATGAGCGTTTTTCCATGATAATGGCATAGTCATATGTGCTTTTTGTTTGAAATAATAATTGCAGCTAAACTGAATCATTTCAAAAACAATCTCAAGAGATCGGTGACACAATTAAAAAAGAAATAAACTGATTAAAAAATATTAAAGGGCAGAGTATATTGTCGTTCGTGTCACAATGTACAGGTATTCACTTTGAAGTTTGCATCAAAGAGACTACTCGTTAGATTAGTCTCTTTCATTGAGGATAATCGGACTGAGAAGTTTTGGGACCATGGAATGAATCTGATCTGCTAGAAAGTGTCCTGAAATAAAGTTTGCTCGCAAGGCTTGATTGTGATGAAAAAATAAAAAA